ATTTCTGATGAGTGAGGTCAGGCATGTGCGCATGTGGTCTTCTGTGCACCCTCCCGTAAGTGTACGTTGAGACGTCGGAGACGTAGCCAGACCGATGTACTCTACGCGTTTCACGTCCCCATCAAACGTTCGAGTCAGTAGACCACATTGACTGCATCAACTTGTCCCTGGTTTTGTTGAGGAATTTTTCATAACTGGGGAAGATGTTTTGTGTCTTTTGCAAATATTATGAATCTTTCGTTTTTTCGTTTATCAGTGGGGGAGGGGGGGGCGGGTAATGTTTGAGGGCAACGTCACGCAATGTTTTCAACGCCTTTTCAATATGTCACAGCATGTTTTTGGTAAAAAACGTGCTTATGTCTTATGTCTCATGGCCGTTCCGAGGCATCATTTTGTTTTTTGTGTTGGCGAGCGTGGTGTTGTGGTGCGTATGTTTTTTTAGATACGCATCGAGTAGACTCCGTGACGTGGCCAAAGTCAGTATTTATGTGCATGCTATTGATGAATATTTCAGGCACCCGATCTAGCCCCCCATCAAACGCACGCCATGAACAACAATTTGTCAACGCCCTGCGGGCATGAGCACAAATAACAAATTTATTATACGCATATGGACAGTCATCACAACTATACATGCATTTACCCCTGTTGGTGGCTGTTCTGTTAACACCTGTGAGAAACGTGTCACCCAATGCGTCGAACATCAAATGATCAGAAAGTCTAGAAATCGAATTTTGTTGTTGACACTACGTTCTACAGTGAAATCACACTATGGTCTATAGTAAAATTCAAGCCATTTCATCAAGCCAAGCCATCAAGCCAACACCGCTGTTTGAGCTTTTTGCACGCAGAGACTGGAACGGATCTGATCCGCTGCTAGTTGATTGATTTGCTGACTGATTCATTGCTGCTAACGCCCATAAATACCGATGCATGATGACAATGACAATTGTCAACTATCATTTTTCATACGAATTTTGTCAATTATCATATGTCATAGGAACTTTTGTCACTGACGACAAATGACAGACAGCACAACATGACAGCACCACGAGGTTCTTACTCGGTAACTATCCCAAGAAGACAAACCCCCGGCGGTCCGGGTTACAGTTCTCCAGATAGTTAACCGGGTTCTGTCCTCGGTTAGATATCGCACGCCCAGCGCTTGAAGTGCGACTTTAGGCCAAATGTTGCGACGTGACCTTTAGGCGTTCCAAACTTAATCCATTAGAGTGTGCGGGGGGTAAATATAAAGCCATGCTACCAGAGTTATGGCTCTCCAGCAGTCACCCCATACGCAATTCGTTGGCTGCTGACCCGTTCCCATTTGACCTCAAACCGAGACATATAACCTGCCGGGCTGATTTGGCAAGCCCGGGGCGCATACAGGCTGGGCTGACCTTCGCTTGGTTCGATGCTGGTTGACAGATCTTGAGCAAGGGGAAGCAGCAGGCGCTGAAGCCCAAGCTGGGGTGCCAAAGCATGCCACAAAACATCTTCATCCCTGCCACCAAAGTGGTCAACTATTGAAACACCGTCACCTTATCCTGAGGGCCAACGGCGATATTTACCAGACCCTAGCCGTCCCTTCCAAGGGGGGCTCCCCCCCCCCCTCCCAATTGGCTACGCCTCTGGTTAGATGTGTAAGAGGTGGCTTTCGGCAAACGCGGGGAGGCAAAGCAAAACGGTGCGAACAAAATGCGACGACACGAGTCGGGCCTTTTGATATTGCGTCACAAGTGCGGTTTGTACACAGAGAACGCGCCAAATAGCAGCTGTGCGTTACATCAGCGTGACCGAAGTCGGATCAGCTGTCGTTTACCACGCGCCCGCCTGATGGGAAGAGGGGGAGCGGGGGGGGGGGGGGCATAACTGCGGCCGAAATGAAAGACCACGAAGCTACCGCGCTACATGAAGAGGGATGCGGTAGACTAACCGTTTCAATGCCTGGCGGCCAGCTGTTCGTGGACCGTGCCGGTGACGTCACTATGTAAAGCATGAAGTTACACGCAGTCGGTCCGTGTGAGACGACAGAACACCACAGCCTTTGGCGGGAAGCGGACTGGGAACGCGGCTGGTCGGAACAATGGGATTAGTTTCACCGACACAGCCCGCTCGTAACACTGTCTTTCCCTCCGCACTGGCGGACTTCGCGCCCGATTGGAACTGACGGAGAGGCCGGGGGGGGGGGGGGGGGGGGGCGGGGGGAGGAAGGAAGCCGCCCTTCGCTCCAGCTCTGAGCAACAGAGATGAAGAAACCTATCAAACGGCGTCAGACATTTTGTGAAAATTCCAGCAACCTTTTATTTCGTTGTTGGTTCATTTGACGCAGAGGCCAATGCCCTACTTGGTCATCGATAATATCCTTCCAATCTTCGTCCATCGCCCAACAAATTGTCTGTTGAAACAATCCGTAAGCAACTGAGTGGTTTGCTAAGCTGCAACAGTATGTTTAGCCTATAGTAATACATTCCTTGGGTCTAAACAGTTATCAAGCCAGGTTCGTTTCACAGTTAACCTAGGTCATCATAAAAATATCAGTCTGAATGAACCACGTAGTATTCTAGTGTACGTGTAGAACAGTACTCGGATACGCCCTTTAATATCCATTCGATTTCTAATACGAACTCCAACTGTTGAAGAACTAACATTTTCATCGACCTGCAATGATCATGGTTAGTCTGTGTGGGTGCCAGTTTCTCGTCTGTGCACACCCCACATCGCCCAAACCCAAACAAAGTCCCGCGGCTGCGTAGTGAAAACACATGTTGCGTAGCCCACGAAGCTATCCCGGCTTCTTTAAAGGTTTAGAGATCAGTTCTATTTTTTGCAGGTGGCTCCAAAGAACGAGAAGCACAATACATGAAACGCATTCCCACGATCGCGTGAAAAATCGTGCATTTTATGTCGCATAATTTGATGTAACAGAGCAACATAAACTGGCTACCCAGAGATACAATCTCTCACCGCAAAACTTGCCATCACTTGTGCCAGTGATTTTGAAAGTGTCAAATGTGAATATAATGTACGATCACCACCTGTGAACTCCCCAGCTGCATTTCATGTGAAGGCCTGAACAGCCCCAACAAGTGCAATACTACAGAGGGTCAAATTAGCTCTCGAACCTTTGTATAACGACCCACACTGACCGATAAGTGAAAACGACGGCGCGAGGCAAAAATGTATCGGGGCGAAATTCGTCACCGTTTGAGCCCCGGCGACCAGTTTTCCCGAGCAGGCCTCCAAACGCCAGACGCCAGACAAGCTTTCCACCTTGAATGCGGCAGATTTCAACCAATAGTGCCTGTGAGCTATCTGTCAGCCGTAGTGGAGGGGGGGGGGGGGCGGGGAGGCGATCAGAGGGCGGCCCGGGGGGGGGGGGGGGGGCGCCGGCACGGTCCAAGCCGCCCGTCGTGAGACGACGGCAGCGCCAGCGACGTACCTGGGGTGCTGCCGTCCTCGCTCAGCCGCTGAGAGGGTCCCGCCGCCGGCAGCGCTGCAGACAGCGGACGGAGCAGTGTCAGAGCGGTGTCAGAGCAGTGTCAGGACGGAGCGGTGTCAGAGCGGTGTCAGGACGGAGCAGTGTCAGAGCGGTGTCAGGACGGAGCAGTGTCAGAGCGGTGTCAGGACGGAGCAGTGTCAGAGCGGTGTCAGGACGGAGCGATGTCAGGACGGAGCGGTGTCAGAGCGGTGTCGGCGGCCGTATTGGCAGCGAAGCCTGTTAGCGCATGTGTACAGTGATGGAATGACACTAAGCGTTCTTTGAGACTGGTTTCAAGAATTGTCACAGACTAACGCAGCTCCGAATGAAATCGATTCACCACACTTGCAGTGTTGTGAACACTAGCAAATGGACACTTAATACTGCATGAACACTGAATGCAACGCAGGGAATCCCGTGTCTCTTTTACACTATAACCAAGACCACGATGTGTCATCCCCACAAACACGTGTACGGCACAGTCGCACTGCTGGATGTTCTGTAGTCATACCTGATCGGGATAAGACCCCAGGATTTCGCTAATGCACATGCCCGCCGTGTAGAACTGTTCCCAAAGCAGAGCACCCTCGCCAGTACAGACACAAGTCTGTCGCAAGCCCCACTGACGGTGATGTCCGATGACGTCACCATCAGTGAAGTCGGCTGATGGCGTCATCATCCAATGACGTCAGTGCCGCCATCAGTGCTCCCCTCCCGCGACCCGGTCTGCTAGTACGGATTGCCTACCAAGTGTGCAGAAATAGAATTACGTGCGAGAGGATCCTGAACAGAAAATAAATGCACCACCGAGAGCCATTCTCCAGCTCATCACATTTTACGCCCAGGCTGCCACCTGCGCAGCTTGAACCCCTTTGCGGAAATGGAAAAGCTGAATCGGTTCGGTTCACTGACATGGCAACTGGAGTTGAGGTGACTACGTTGCCGTCTTTTTTCTCTTTTTTCCTATGCCCCAAATGCGCAAGGCATTATCAGTTCAAGTCAACTGCAGTGAGGCGCCTCTTACCCCCCCTACCCCCCCCCCCCCCCCCCAGCCCAATGCGCTTGAATCGATCCGTGTGAAGAGATGGCCAGATTCTATTCAAATCTGCTGAAAAAAAGCATACACCTCCTCAATTACGCACAACAAACCGGGCCTTCCATCTGACTGAAATGACTGATTACTGCTCATGATTATAAAGAGTACGCCGAATACCAAAGCCCACACGCATCCTACATGACTATTTAACGCGCTAACATAGTGCCAGCCATGAAAAGGTCCGTCCTACAAAAGATTGCAATCGCGTGTAAAGTTATCACGATTGAGGTTTTAGGCTTATTTACCGCCCGGCTGCAGAGTGTCTTATCCCCCTCCCGCCCAGTTTCCGTTCATCTATGCCCTCCAACCCTTGTCCCCTACATGTGCCCAACCCAGAACAGCTTGCAACGACTAAGGATATTGTCGCACAGAATGCTGGCTCGGGACGTTGACTGGAATACTTCAAGCAATTTAAGAGTGTCCCCGACAGTGACTGGTAACTGTGTCCTTGATCGTAACCGTGTCCTTGATCGCAATTGTGTCCTTGATCGTAACTGTGTCCTTGATCGTAACTGTGTCCTTCACCGTAACATTGACCGCAATCATGTCCTTGACTAAGACCGTGACTGTGTCCTTAAGGGTGTCAGTGTCCCTGGCCGTGTTCGCGTTCGTGTCCGTGTCCGTGTCCGTGTCCGTGTCCGTGTCCGTGTCCGTGTCCGTGTCCGTGTCCGTGTCCGTGTCCGTGTCCGTGTCAGTATCCGTATCCGTATTCGGATTCGTATCCTTGCCCGCGTCCGTGTCCGTGTCCGTGTCCGTGTCCGTGTCCGTGTCCGTGTCCGTGTTGACGCGGGTGCACTGACCGTCGGCAGGCGGCCGCTCCGGCAGGCCGTAGCCGCCCTCGAACTCGGCCACGTAGCCGAGCGTAGCGTCCAGGCTGGCGTCCGCCGTCGCCAGTTCCTCCGGCTCCAGTTTCAGCGGGGGGCGGCTCCTGCTCCTGCTCCCGCTCCTGCAGCAGCGGCTGCTGGTGCTGACGCTGCTGCTGTTGCTGCTGCACGGGCGGCGGCGGTGGCGGTGGTGGCGGAGGTGGCGGTGGCGGCGGCGGCGGTGGCGGCGGCGCCCGCGCGCCGGCCGGGCTCGCCGCAGGCTCCGACCCCGACAGGACGGCGACGCTTGGCCGCCTGTGGGGAGCCCGTCGCGCCTGACCGCATCCTGAACAGCGGCGGCGACGCGGACGACACCGGCGGACGCGGCGGTGGTGGGTGGCGTCGGCGGCGGCTGCCGGACAACGGAGCCGGTCAGCGGTCAGCAAGAGCTCGCGTCAGGTGCGCGCGAGCTCGCGTCAGGTGCACTTGAGCTTGCGTCAGGTGCGCACGAGCTCGCGTCAGGTGCACTTGAGCTTGCGCCAGGTGCGCACGAGCTCGCGTCAGGTGCACTTGAGCTCGAAGGTGCCACGAGCTCGCGTCAGGTGCGCACGAGCTCGCGTCAGCGCACGAGCTCGCGTCAGGTGCACTTGAGCTCGAGTCAGATGCGCACGAGCTCGCGTCAGATGCGCACGAGCTCGCGTCAGGTGCACTCGAGCTCGCGTCAGGTGCACTTGAGCTTGCGTCAGGTGCGCACGCGCTCGCGTCAGGTGCGTACAACGCGCCGACGGCAGCGTCACCGACCGGGTCCGCCCCGGCGGCAGAGACCGTGTTGCGGCCCGAACAGGCGGCACATGTCCCGCGCCAGTCCCCGCGCACCCGCAGCCAAATCGATTCGCCTGCTCTAGGCTTGAGGTTGGCGAAGCAGTCCCCGCAATAAATCCCGCCTGGCGTCGTCCCACCAGCGCGTCGACAATCGTCAACATTGGCGTCAAAACCAGCGCCGTGTCGAGCTCGGTCGCCTGGGGCGTGCGTGGTGCACTAACACCCGCACGTGAGGGGGGTTGCTGGGGGAGGGGGGGGGGGGGGGGCGCCCACCTTCTCGTCGTCGCCGCTCAGGCCCCTGATCTGCAGCATCTCCGCCGTCTTGATGAAGCTGGCCAGCTGGCTCTGCGCCACGTTGACGCTGCCCTTGTACATGAACTCGATGATGGCCCGTAGGTCGGCAGGAGATGTGTCCTTCAGGAATAGCAGCATGTGCTGACACGGGTTGTTCTGGAACAGAAGATCGCACGCAGGTGTTCATGATCTCACTATCGTGGCTACTGTGTGACATTGATTCAGCCTTGATTGACGGACGAATCAACACATGCCATCAATGAATAAATCAATATATGCCATCAATGAATGAATCAATACATGCTATCAATGAATGAATCGATGCATGCTATCGATGATTCCTTGATGAAGATCACCATTTGATCATTACACCACCCATTGAAAGTTGGTTTATGTTTCAGTATGCCCTTGTCGCCATGTGGCTGTTACGCACATAAATACATCTTCCTTTCTCACACCACTGATGTCAGCTGTACAGCGAGTCCGTGATATCTGGCCATATCACGACCAGCAGCAGAGGGTGGTTTGCTATTTCTTTGTGGATGCCTAAGCATCCACAAGCAGAAGCGGACCCCCCCCCCCCCCCCCCTCCACAGTGTATTCTATGGACACCGACAACGAAAAAACAAATTAAATGGCCTGTAAGTTGCCATTGGTGTTTTCATACAAGCTTCCGTCTTAACAGGATCATTTCACAAAACAGTTTCATTAAAGAACTTTCGATAAAAAAGTGAAGCAGAGTCCTGATTTATCTCAATTCTTCAAACGTTTTATATTTTCCCCGTGCCGCAATAAGTCTACATTTTCGGCGGTAACACAAGCAACATGGCGGGTGAGGACCATGTGGTACTGCTTCATGCTGGCATAAATTGGCGACCGAAGACAAGGCGCAAAAGTGTCACCCCTTTCAGATCTTCGGTATCCATTGAAACCGTAAACCTGTTCCTGAATCACTCTCGGAGTAATCCCTGTTGCGGATTCTGGCCCGGCACACAGCTCGGCCAATCACGTGACACCCACGTGCCTTCAAAATTAGCATGGTAGGAAATGGAATCGGTGGATTCTTGCGCACACATTTTGATAGCAGTGACACGACGCGTTTCAACCTTTGTGGGGACAATTTTAAGCTCAATCCAAAGCTAATCGATTGGTGTTTAAACTTTTGGACCGATTCCCGTTCAATCCATGCATTAGTCCTAGATCAATGAACTTGTTCCATTCCTTAGAGCTTTACCGCGCGATTCCAGACAAGTACATTCATGACAATGTTAGGGAATGCTGTGGCACTCGCGAGCCTCGCGAACACAACACAAGGTTTGTTTCATAGATGATAATTGTTCGGAAATTGATAAGGCTGTGGCACTCGTGGGCCTCGCGAACACAACACAAGGTTTGTTTCATAGATGATAATTGTTCGGAAATTGATAAGGCTGTGGCACTTGCGAGCCTCGCGAACACAACACAAGGTTTGTTTCATAGATGATAATTGTTTGGAAGTTGATAAGCTAAGTCCAGTCCGTCTTCCATCCCATCGTAGCGTCCAGTGGGGTTCAGGTTATGTTGTGGGGAAATTACTCATGCGATAAGGGAGCCTGCAGTAATTTTCAAGCACGCACTCCCGTTACTGGCAACTTCCAGAGGTCGGACATCCCGCTACAACACGCCATGACGTTCGCTAACTGACCTCAGCTTCTGGATGATGTTTGGGGGGCTGCTGAGGCCGCTTCTCCCGCAATCGATCACCACCTCATCACACCATCTCATCAGTCTCTTCAGTCCCGCTACCACCACACTGGTGGCGACGTATTCACCTTGAGCAGGTCGCGGAAGTAGGGGCTGCAGGCTGAGAGTACCAGGCGGTGCGCGCGCACCTGCTGGCCCTCGCAGCAGAGCGTGATGTCCACCAGCTCCTGGCCCAGCCGCAGCTGGTCAAACAGGGATGTCACGCTGCCCTGGAAGCCATCCCACTTGAGGCAGAACTTCTGGCCGTCCATCTCCGGCCACTGCAAACACGGTAGCCCGCTGATGTCAGAATTTATGCACCCAAGGCAACACCCAATGTGGCACCCAAGGCACTCAAGGCTTTAAAATGCCTAAGGTGCAAACACAAGTTTTAAGTGCATTTGCAAGGAACATGATTCACATGGATAAGACAGTAGTAACATCTTTATTCCTCAGCAAAAAACCAGACCCAATATCTCCATTGGGTCTGGACTGGTCTCATTGGGTCTGCTGTTTCTTCTCCAAGGAATAAGGCTATTACATATGACTACTGTGCATTATGGGGCGCCAATAAGGTAGTGATTAATGTGTCCATGTTAACCTGTACGCATCTGGGAAACCAGAGGTACTGCATTTGATTTCTGGTTATGCCTGCTCTTCCTCTCAGGGTGTGAGGCAGGATGCAGGTGACACCATATAGCCTCAGCAATTGGGTGTTTTGTAAAGCCCCAATGACATTGACAACAATCAGCACACGCTTTGTCCCAGACATAGCCCTTACAACAGCAACACCATTTCTGAATGGTTTATACCATATCATTTGATAGAATGGTGGCCTGTTTTCCACTTAAGCTACCAGCCTTTGTCTGGCAGTGGACAGTGTATACTGGCAACTTCACACAGCATGTGATTTAAGTGATGCACTGTCCACCAGTGAACTTACCGCCATTCATGTACAGTGGCATGTGGCTAGTCATCACACATGACAATAATCAGCTTCCAGAATATCAGGACATACTGGTTAAGCAATGTCATCGTACAAACATTGGTCATATTATTAAAACTTGATGGTTCAACCAATGCTCATTGGGAACATATCAGCTAGATTGCCCTTTGAAGCCTGAGTCATCCTATCTTTAAGAAGTGACAAATTGTTTATATCCCATACAGATGCTGGAACTACTTACTACCACTCCTGACCTGTTAGAGGCTTGCTGCCTGGTTCTATCTGGGAGATGCTGTTGGAATTTCATCATCCTGAGTTGCTCACACATAACGGATGCTGGATTCCCCCCATGCAAAGCTACAGGCTAATGTTTGTGGAAAACCAGCCCTGCCCACCCCTGCTTAACTGTGCATAGAATGTTTTGTCCTTCATGACTGAACACAACTGTACTATGCAGCTTGGACGTGGATGCACGGTACACTTTGTCTCATACCATGCATGCGTGTTCTTAATACAATATGTTTCAGCTTGCAATGGCATAATATGGTACTCCTACACTACCCTAGCTAGCCCATTTTGGCAGACAATAACTGACCTAGGTTGTCGCCTTCAAAGTGATCCTACAACACATATTGTACTTGGGCATAGTACTGAAATGTCATATGCATTTTCAAAGGTTGTCAATTATTTCGAGCTTGAATTGCATACAACTGGCATAAGTGGACATCCTACACTTGCATCAGTGAACCCATTGCATTAATTCATGCGATTCGCCTTATTATGTCACCAAAACATATTTGGCTCAGTTTTGCCACCGACAAACTACGCTGATGGAATGCCACCCACCCCTTGCTGTGTCCCACCCCGTAAAGGCTCAGCCCACATCAGCTATGTAGGCTGTGTCACAGCTGTTAAAGCCACTTACTATGCAGGTATTTACCACGTTGCTAACAACTTCTGGATAGCCCCAGCCCCGGCGCCCGCACTGGTCCCGACCTCTGTGCTCCAATGCCTGCCCCAACGCGTCTCCAACTCACCTGTGCATTCATTTCAAATCCGCGTTAGACCTGACGCAGCCGATACATTTATGGTGCAATCGCGCAAGGAACTAAAAAACCAACAAAATGTGCTGACTATCCTACATTCCGCGCTTATGCGACCGATCGACACCAATCTTGTGGCATTTGATGACGCTTGGTTGATAGCCAGTCCTCTCCAGTACATGTGACCTTGGATTGGGTCAAAGGTCACTGTGCGAGTGGTACCCGGTAATACGGGCCGCTGCTGACCCTAGTCATGTGAACGCCGCCCGCCGGCTGTTGGCCCGGCGGGTGGGCCGCGTTCCCCTTTGTGAAACGCCGCCCACAGATTGCAACTTATAACGCCAGAGGTGAAGGCGTCACAACCATTCCCGCGGTTGGAGGATAGTCGCTTGTGTGTGACGTAGGCACTTACGACGTCATAAGTAGCGACTGAGGTAGGCTGACCTTTGCCAACGGGCAACGCGGCCTTGCGGTCGTCGGAGAGCCAGCCAGAAATTCCATGCTTGACGTGCGGCTGGACCCAGACTCTCTTGCCTTCTGGCTGAGCCCACTGGCTTTAACTTTGAGCCTTCGATTGACACACAGCGCAGCACACACAGTACAAGACATTTTCCCCCATGTGCACACGGTGTATAATTAGGCCGCACGGCCATCAGCTTCACAGCCCGTGATCTATATATCCATATGTCCATAGGTGACTATAGATCACCGCATGGTGTTGTCATTGGGGCTTTACGACGCACTCAGCTGCTGAGGACATATGGCGCCGCCTGCCTCTCAACCCGGCAGGAAGGGCGGGCACCGCCGGAAAAGGAACCACGTACGCCTGGTTTCCCAGTCGCGCAGTGGCTAGCGCAGGCGCGTCAACCACAACGCTACCGGCACCCTCATCACCACATGGTGCGTCCAGCACTTCTGCATCGGGTCACTTTCGTGTTGCGCCGCGGCGTGACGACGCCGAGTGACGCAGAGTTTGCACCGAAGGCCGGCGTACTGGTGGAAGTGCAGCTGGCAAATGAAACCTGTGGCTCGGTAAGACGGCCCAGCTAGCTCGGCCAAACGTCGCTACAGGCCGCAGCGACGCACTTCACGCGTGGACTGTCGGACGGGAGGACTTCTACCTACTCACCGGTGTTGGCAACTTGGAGCAAGGGACCCAAACGGCCTTCGTCCGATCGTGACTGACTAACGACACGAACCGGTTCGAGCCGGTTCGAATGGACGAACCAAGTCGTCTGAGATCTGCCGCGATAAGACGCGGAGCGACAGGACATGACTGCCGTGCTTCAACACCCGGAGGCCTGCGCCTTGGGCAGATGAACGAAGTCCTTGATAGGAAGCGCTTTAACGGTAGAGTTCAGGGCGACTGAAACACCTTCGATGATTTTCTCATCCATCTTCGTGACTTATCTCGACCTGAGTTCCGCAGAGACTGTCCCAAAACAAACGTGATTTATTCCCCTCGCAAGCGCTAGCGTACAAAGATATTGACTGAACAGGTATGACCGTCTTTTTGCACTGATCTCGGGCTAGTAGCGATCTCTTGACCGTGCCCCTTTTTTCGCACCGTTCATATTTAGCCATTGAAAGATGAACACAGCGGAAGATAACCTCAGTGAGCTACGCGCAGTTGAAAATCCAAGGCATTGTCACGCCCTTGTGATAATGTTTATGAACGTAAACATTGCAACGCGCGTTGATTTCCAACTAAAATTATGTTCCCGACCCCAAAGAACTCTCTCTAATGAGGAAACAAGCATCCAGCATCAGCAGCTGCCCGACATTACCCGCATTTCCCGTACTTGGCGCACGTGATTCGTCAGTCAGGGTGGCCTGTAATGCATCTGTTCCTCCGCGGATACGCGCTCACGCACCAAGCAAGCTGAGCCTCCGCGGAGCATTCGGGAGCCTCGGCTCGCCACGGTGGCTGGGGAGCTGATAGTGACCCATAGTTCAAAAGCCACAGCCTCTGGTCCGTGCTCAGCCGTTGGGGCCTCCATCACGCGTCCACCTCCCATTCACGTTCCATCCACACCTCCACGTTCTATCCACTTCCCACCCACGCCTCCACCTCCCATCCACCTCGCACCCACGCCTCCACCTCCCATCCACCACCCCATGCACGTCCCATACAACTCCCATCCACTTCCCATCCACCTCCCATCCACTTCCCACCGACGCCTTCACCTCCCATCTACCTCCCACCCACGCGTCCACCTCCCATCCACCACCCCATGCACGTCCCATACAACTCCCATCCACTTCCCATCCACCTCCCATCCAGCTTCCATTCACGCCGCTCTATCCGGCGTCCAACGGTCATGCCGAGGCCGCTGCAACGTCCATTGAATCCTTGGTTGCAAAGATCAGCGTCAAAGACGATCCGGATTACAGACATTTCGATGTCAGAAGATATCCGGATTACAGACAGATGGACGTCAGAAGATATCCGGATTACAGACAGTTCAGCGTCGGAGGAGATCTGTATGACAGACAGTTCAGCGTCGGAGGAGGTCCGGATGACAGACAGTTCAGCGTCAGAGGAGGTCCGGATGACAGACAGATCAGCGTCAGAGGAGGTCCGGATGACAGACAGTTCAGCGTCGGAGGAGGTCCGGATGACAGACAGATCAGCGTCAGAGGAGGTCCGGATGACAGGCAGGTCAGCGTCAGAGGAGGTCCGGATGACAGACAGTTCAGCGTCAGAGGAGGTCCGGATGACAGACAGATCAGCGTCGGAAGAGGTCCGGATGACAGCCAGATCAGCGTTGGAGGAGGTCCGGATGACAGACAGATCAGCGTCAGAGGAGGTCCGGATGACAGGCAGGTCAGCGTCAGAGGAGGTCCGGATGACAGACAGTTCAGCGTCGGAGGAGGTCCGGATGACAGACAGTTCAGCGTCAGAGGAGGTCCGGATGACAGACAGTTCAGCGTCGGAGGAGGTCCGGATGACAGGCAGGTCAGCGTCAGAGGAGGTCCGGATGACAGACAGTTCAGCGTCGGAGGAGGTCCGGATGACAGACAGATCAGCGTCAGAGGAGGTCCGGATGACAGACAGATCAGCGTCAGAGGAGGTCCGGATGACAGACAGATCAGCGTCAGAGGAGGTCCGGATGACAGGCAGGTCAGCGTCAGAGGAGGTCCGGATGACAGGCAGGTCAGCGTCGGAGGAGGTCCGGATGACAGACAGATCAGCGTCGGAGGAGGTCCGGATGACAGGCAGGTCAGCGTCAGAGGAGGTCCGGATGACAGGCAGGTCAGCGTCAGAGGAGGTCCGGATGACAGGCAGGTCAGCGTCAGAGGAGGTCCGGATGACAGGCAGGTCAGCGTCAGAGGAGGTCCGGATGACAGGCAGGTCAGCGTCAGAGGGGTCCGATGACAGGCAGGTCAGCGTCAGAGGGGTCCGGATGACAGGCAGGTCAGCGTCAGAGGAGGTCCGGATCACAGTCAGGTCAGCGTCAGAGGAGTCCGGATGACAGGCAGGTCAGCGTCAGAGGAGGTCCGGATGACAGACAGATCAGCGTCAGAGGAGGTCCGGATGACAGACAGATCAGCGTCAGAGGAGGTCCGGATGACAGGCAGGTCAGCGTCAGAGGAGGTCCGGATGACAGGCAGGTCAGCGTCAGAGGAGGTCCGGATGACAGGCAGGTCAGCGTCAGAGGAGGTCCGGATGACAGGCAGGTCAGCGTCAGAGGAGGTCCGGATGACAGGCAGGTCAGCGTCAAGGAGGTCCGGATGACAGATCGCACGGGGCTCCGAGCTCCGAAACATCCATAGAGAAGACGGGCGCTCCTCTCACAAACGCAGCGCTCTGGCCCAGACTGTATATTGGGTCAAGCGGTTACCGGGCATTGACACGGGGCACGAGGCTATAAACACACCGGCCTCGTGCACAGCGGCCGGGCAGCGCAGCACCGGCATTGTGCACCGCAACACAATATGGACCGTTGCTGGAACCGTGGTGTCCGGACAGGCTTTGTGAAGCTGTGTCCCTGTCCGCAGAAGGATATTCGGAAGACACTTGCAACTTCCTGCTCAAGACTGCAAGCCACCGCTCGACAAATACAATGCATCAACAGCAGCACTACAATCACACGCAATACCGTAGTCACCACTGAAAATTACACCCTCCACTCGGATACAGTGCCCATCCTACCACCGCTGAAACAGCATCAGCATTATCGCCGGCACAGAGCGTCACCACGACTGTCGCGCGAAGCTCCCAAGGGAACCCAGAAACGCCCAAACCCAAGGGTTGAAGGGAAGCTGAGAACCTTTCGCGGCCTTTGGCAGCCTCTGCCCAGAGCGGCCATTATTTCAGCCTTGTCCGTCCTATATCCTTGACTGGGAACGCGTCACTATTCATGCTTCCTATTTGCGACATTGCTAACATGCATTGACCAATCTTGAATACATATCGAAAAGCACTCAGTGGTCTCGAAAGAACTATGGAACCAACCAGCACACACAGCAGTGTCCACGCTACGCACCAGCTAGCGAAGAGACTTTCGGGCCCGACGGTGATTCGTTTCATCGCCCCTTCGCATGCCTACCGACCCATGGCCTCGCCCTCCGGTCCGCACCTCGACGCCCGCCGAGCGCTGGTTCCACACCTCGCAGAGCCAGAGACAGCAACCGGTGAGAGCTATGTGCAGCGCCAGCCAGACGAGGAGGTTTGCCACCGCCGCCCGCTGGAAGAACTCGCGGTCGTGCTTGACGCAGACGAGCACCTCGGTAAGCAAGACCCAGATGCTGACACAGACCTGGAGGCCGAGTCGCTCGCAACGCCGGTCCGTCACGTACAGATGAACTTGGCTGGCGGCAGAATGAGCACAGTCAAGATCCGTGGCGTGCCACAGATGCGGCGAGGACTAATGGCGTGCCACGGACACGGTGAGGACCCGTGGCGGGCCTCGGATGCGGTGAAGAACAGTGGCGTGCCACGGACACGGTGAGGACCCGTGGCGGGCCTCGGATGCGGTGAAGAACAGTGGCGTGCCACGGACACGGTGAGGACCCGTGGCGGGCCTCGGATGCGGTGAAGAACAGTGGCGTGCCACGGACACGGTGAGGACCAATGACGTGCCACGAACACGGTGAGGGCCCGAGGCGTTCCACGGACACAATGAGGACCGATGGCGAGCCACGGACACATTAACGGCCACTATGGCGTGTCACGGACACAGTAAGGGCCGATGGCATGCCACGAACACGGCGAAAATCAATGGCGTACCACGGACATGGTCGGGACCAGTAGCGCATTACGGACACAGTGAGAACCAATGGCTCCCGTGGAATAATGCAGGCGATGAAGCGGTACCATGCGGGGTGCGGTTCAGGGTCGCTTCCCCACTCTCGAGGCAACTAGGCGGTATAGGGGATCATGTGGGCGCGTCTTCGCCTGTGATGTAGCCCACGTCACCCAACCCACGCACTGGTGGGTTGTGGAAGGCGCACAGCGACCGCGAGTAAGACGTGCGCAGTGGCAGAGCGTGAGTGATCGCAAGATCCCCTGATCATCGCTCTCCGTAGGTGTAAGAAAGTTACCACGTCGGCAAAGTTCCACTGTCTGAAGTCATCTGGCAACGGAGACGCCGCACGCACTCCCACCTGATGGTCGGTGCAGCTGTAGCCATCCAGCAACAGAGACGGCCGGGGTGAAAGAGACTGCCGATCGGCAGCTGCAGCACGTGCTTCAAGAGGAACGCGTTGAGATCGACCATCGACGAGGAGACGACCATCACGGAGACATACAGCACGCGCATGTACCGGCTGTTGACGTCCATCCAGTGCGCGTGGACCCCCGAACTGGGCGTGGGGCTCCGGCTCTGAGAACACCCTGTCTTGCTGTCCGATGGCGAGGGATCCCTTCACGGCGGGGAAGACAGCGGCTGTGACAAACATGACTGCAGTGGTTCAGGGCGACTTGACCTGTTGGCTATGACACCGAGCAGTTGAAGACGTTATAGGCACTGAAAGTGAAGAACGGACCACGCAAAGACCCTGATTCGTTAGAGATCTCGAGATCGTAGCAACGTTAAGGGCCTAACCACCTGCCTGGAATGCAAGGGTGCACTGTGAGAAATTATTTAAGGCAGGGAACTTTGATCCGTTCAGTAATGAACTGGATGCACCTAAATAAATTGCTTGGAGTGGCCAAGATAAAGCTGTGGGAACAAAAAGTCCGCCAATGAAAGCAAAACACGTGTGCTGGAAACCAAAAACTAGCCCTGAAACACTGAAACTCAGTCGCCAAGCACCTAACGCTTTGACGCTGAGAATCTGGAGAAAATTTACTTCGGTGCGTACCGCCCCTCACGGGGACCCACGGACTCACTTGATGCTCTCCCACTTGTACTCGCGCACCTCCAGCCATCTACACGCCTGCATCCCAATGAAGATGCCGATGCCGTTAGAGATGAGCATGTCGATGACGATGATGTCCCACCAACATTCCGCGAGCATCGGCAACAGATGAATAAACAGCAGCTTGGAACGCAAATCATGGCACCGCATTACCAGAACGATCCGGTGATCTGGCTGAAAGGGAGTGTTACACATTCGTGTGGGGTTCTGAGCTGAAATAGCCATCTTGAAGACCATTCGGTGCATTTCACAGACCTGCCCTCTTTAAGACCCAAATTCCTCTAGTTTATGAGGTACACGCCCGCGAAGACGTGTTGATTGTTTACTGTAGAGTATTTCTAAGGTCACTCAAGAATCCATGACGTCATAACGTCTTTCAAATCATACCATTTTGCTGGCCATGCAATTGTCAAATCCGATACAAAAAAATTGTCAAGTCGTTCACATCTGGTGTTCATGAGCACGATTCCCAGCTATAATGTTTGTCAATTGGTTCTCAGTTTTGTGCAAGATGTGATGATCCAATCAAGCAAGGACGTGTTGAGGGGCATGTTTACCAAATTGGGAAACTGTGTTGTCTATAGCAGTCCTTTTCACTTAAAAGCATGCTAGCAGTTATAAATGAGCTTATTTCATCATATCTGATGTTTGTTTCAATATTTCATACGGTGGAGCATTTCCTTTAAGCTGAAGGCTAGGTCATATACAGATGTTCGAAGACTGACCTCCGTGCGACAGATGGGAAGCATTAAATGTTATCGAACATCGTTCCGCTCATGTTTACTGGGTTCTGCTGGCGTCAGGTATATTCCATATCTATGCTCGTGAGTAGTTTGCCTGAAACGCCTCCAACAAAACTATTCCAGGGACCTTTTGGTGGACGTTTTTCCTTTTTCCTGGACCTAGACTTTTGCAAAACATGCATTGAATGACGCTCAACAAGATCTCTCAACATACATGCACACCTGGCAAACCGGATGTGAAATCGGGAGGATCGTAAAGCCTGAAGCATTGCTCGACCCGCAGGATGAAACTCTCACAGCCTGCATGTCCACAACGGCGAAGTTTCCCCTTTACTTGGGCAGCCGACCAGCTTCCACTTCACCCACCTCTGTGACTTCCCACATGACGGACATGGTCCAGACCACGCCGTAATGCCGCACCACTGTCGCCTTCAGAGACCAACCGAGCAGATGCGACACCACATAGATGTCCATATTGCTCCAGATGTTGTCCAGTGTTACCGGGTAGCAGTCTTCGCTCCATGTGCCCTGTGTGCGGGAGATGGGTGAGTTTTGTATTCGGGTGAACAACTGAAATACTGTGACTTTTTGCCCGCAGTTTGTGTGAATAGAATATCACCAGGTTATAAACCGCTGCTAGAAAGTCCCCAAAATTGATGATAGCGGTGCCCTGTTCGTTAATATCAAGTAGTTACGCATACCTTGCGCCAACATATCGCAGCGTGTAGGGACAGTGTGATGGAAATCTTTGATTTTTGGTGGATTGCCTGCAAGCATGGTGAGAACTAGATAGAGCAGATACACAACATGCTGCATGTGACGAGTGAAGTGTAAGAGACCAGCACGTGATCGAGGTAGCAGTTCACGTGGTTACACTGGAGCAGAAAAGAACGGGCTTCTATCCCGTAAGAGTAATAAGATCGGTGGCGATGATTCCATTAGGACGCTTAAGACACCGGCCGGTGGAGGCTCAAAGCCCGCTTCAGCATCCTAGCCTTTCATAAAAGTTTCCATATCGCGTCACGCCATTTTAGCTGCATTACACTTTGATTTCTCCCACTCAAAGTGTACGCTGGCAAGGTACCGGAAGCCTGAATGCTAAGGGAGGTGTTCTCAACATTGGGTGTGTGTATTTCACACAAGGGCGAACTCGAAAGTCTCAGAGGGGGGATTGCAATGCAGCCAAGTAATGTCTCGGTCAAAAGCTATCCTTATCTTGCGAGGAGAAAGATAACAGTCCCAACACTCCCAACAGATAGGCGTTGACAAGAGGACGGTGCTGCCACCGCAATGCCCTGCGCCTGACGCGTGCACTGAGCCGAACGTATTGCTGCATTACCAGACGCAGAGCCAGTGTGTCCACTGACGTGGAGTGTTCATGCACCCGCGAGATGCCGAGAGTGACGTTTTGTGATTAGATTTATGTTGCCTTAACACGCGCCCGGATAATGGGGTTAATACAGCCGTGCCAAGCCTTGCACAGCTGTCGGCAATTGAATAACGGCTCTTTTGGTGTGGTAAAATTAGATATACATTGCAAGGTCGCTGACCTAGCGGAAGGTCAAGGTCAGGTCGTGGCTGTACACGAAGGCAATTTCTAGGGAATCGTTCAATGTGATGCGACAGCGGAGTGTTAGACGAAGCCATTCAGCCCTGAGATAGGTTCTCAGGAAATTAAACAGCTGAATTTAGTATCTCAGAAACGCAAGTGACCTGGGGTCAGGTATGAATGTCAGACCGAGGTCTGAGCAAACCCTTTTTCTTTACTCGAGAGCTAACTGCGTGAGATACATAGTTTCTGGTGCTTATGGCGACATTAGTAACAACAGGGACCATAACAGACATCTTCCGTGGACCTCTTAAAGATCAGAAAGAACACTGGCCAAAGATGAACCAGTTCAACCTTTTGTATTCAGAAACACACCGCCTAGCGTCATCCTTGACGCTAATTGAAATGTAAAAATAAAAACAATTTCGTGGGTTTTGGGTCGCCATGCCCTTTTTAAGGAAAAATAAGGTCACTGACCTTAGACGAACACTAGTGGCCTTTGGTTAGAACAGGCATCTAAGTGCAAGGTAGTTGCACGAGAGGGTCCGGGGCACGTTGGACACCAATCTCGACTTTGACCATGTTTGACCTCATTCGACCCGAAGATCATGGCCTAGAGTCTCGCGTTTTGCCACACGTGAGTTCATATACAGGCTAACCTGCCCCATGAGATTGGTATTTCTAGGTCTCTTAGTTTCTGAGATCTCAGGTCAAATTGACCCCCACCCGAGTGAAGGGTGTTCAACCGGATTCCTGAGCGTGTGTTAATGCATTTAGCGTTTGGCTCTTTTAAACCGGCATTTGGATTTTCTGGACAATTTACGCGGTCATTTTTAGTTCTTTGGTTTGTTACAACGTTTGATAAGTTTGGTTCGTTGCAACACAATGACGTCGGATGTTATAACACGCACGAGATCAAAAGAAGATCCTCTTATTGCTCTAATTTGAAACAAAAGAAGGTGTCAATACGAAATTGCACTGACCTAGATGAGTGAAAACAAATTCCAAATACGAGGTATTAACGCATCGAGACCGCATTAACGTTCGAGACGTCCGGTAAGACGAGTCATCAACTTTGGAAACCAAGGCGAAAGACCCAAAATTTCCGTTTTGAAATGCGACTTTTAATTTCGTCAAAGCTGGAGACATAGTAAAGGTAGGAGGTAGGCGGGTCCAAGTTATCGAGGTACAACAAGGTAGAAAAAGTTCAAAAGTTCAAAAAGTACAAGATACAAAAAAGGTACGAGGTACAAAAAGTTCGTTCGGTGGCCTCCAGGTGACGGTGGGGCAGGCGGAATGACGCTTGCCATGGGCGAGTGCGTCTGCCGTCGTGAAAGAGCGGAGCGTGGCCTGAGAGGAGACGACGGCGGGGACGGTTCCTCGCACGTCGGCGCTTTAATCCTCTCAGTACGTTCCTCCCATTCACAAGCCATCAAGCTGGGGTGAGGCCAGAAATTACGGATTCGGCGTTATATGTCATGCGCGTTTCATATCAGAAAACCCTAGCGACCAGACTTATAGCTTTTTGTGTTGACGCATACCTCTTGCGGTCGCTCGCGCCACCCCACGCAGTCAGTACGATATATATGGAATACGTATGCCTAAACAATGATTTTGAGGACGGTCGGTGCTAAGTAATGTTTGACCCACTGCAGTGAGATTAGGATCACACTGCACTTTTGCATGACTCTGTCGGCATACTTTTCACAAGAAAACTGTGCACGGTAACTGTGTAGAGCATTTGCCTGAACGTAACAGTCAAAAAACCAAAGCCGAAGACACTCGTGTCCACATATGCACTTACCCGACGGTGAACTGCGTACAGATGAGGACATACCTCAATCATGTCGTTATTGAAGTTCTTTGCGTCCGGGAAGAAAAATATGACGATCGCCCTGATCGTTGCGTAGTCCTGGTTGCGAATGAAAAACAAAAATTAGTAACATCTTTTTAATAGCACAAGGGCTTAGTTCTCTTACTCCCCTCGACGGGCTCCGTCCAGAGGAGCAAAAACGCCAAGGATGCAAGTAACGTGTGTGTGTGTGAATTATCGGTTGCACACAGTTCAAGGTGACAGACTTTCCGCAAATGACTTGTCATCTGCTTCGCCAAACGCAATACGAGTCACATGGGCATGCCATGGCGTAGGTCATCAACAGAATGTATGTTCCGCAAAGACATGAAGGCCTTCAGAGAAAATTTGTTGCACATTATGTATTCTCTAGCTTCGGTTCCTGCCAAACCAGCCTAATATCAGGTTTGTCTCGCCTACCTGTGACTTGTTCGTTCCTACTTCCTGCCAAGCAAACTCAATAACTTGATATATTTCACCGCATTTCCTCCAGCCCCTGATGGAATTTTGAACGGGCTCCTGATCCGTTTCATGCGGACACCACAGGGTAAGTTGGATCCTTAAAGACCTTTTCACAATCGGTCTCACCAATTACGGAATGACAGCCTCAATTGCACTGGAGGCTGCATGCATTTCCATGGTAATCCTTAGTCTTGACTTGCCTAAAGATGGACGCGTGACTAGCCTGGGTCCCAGGGGACACGTTACTGATCTAGGCACGTGACAGAGCCCGTGACTATTGACACGTGACTAGCCTAGGACACGTGTCAGAGCACACGGGAACCCAAGGAATCCAGGGAACATTTGTGCCGTACCTGGAACAGGACAAACAGCAGAAGCGCGAGGTAGGCCACGCTACAGCCGAAGACGCATCTCCAGAGTGCCGGATGAGGCCGAATGAAGGGGCCATCGTAAGATCTCAAGCCAGAGTTGACGAAGCAGAACAGCATGACGTAGCACATACCGGTCAAGATGTTGTTCTGCTGGCTGATGCTG